ATCAGTAACATTGGCACTGATTTATGGGGAGACAGTGCCATGGTTGAAGGCATAGGCTTCAGAATCAGAGAGTTGAGTCATGGTTTCATCGCTGACTCGCTGTGTGGTCCTAGGCGAGGAACTTGCCCATAGGATTCCTGTGAGGAAGTGGGAAGGTAATACCTACACGAAGCACTTAGCCAGCACCTGGTAACTAATACCTATGATGTCATTGATAAAAATGCAACCTTCAGGATGTCAGAACAGGCTTAATGTGTCTCTGAACACAAGGGGATTGATAGACTTCTATGTGAAGGCTACCCAAAAGGATGATTTGAGAATTAGCATGACATGAGGGTTTTCATTAAATTAGAAAATCTGAAGAGTTTCTAACATTTAAAATGGGTTGGTTGGCTTAACATTAATATTTAATGTGACTTAGCTAGAAGAATTTTCAGGTCACTTGAGAGAGTTAAAAATAGCATTTTAAGTCAACAGAAACAATGAATAAATGAAGTATCTCATCATGACCAGAAAGATGTTTATAGTTTGCTAAGTCCCTGCTTTGCATAGCAGGCCCCGTGGAATCCCTTTTTCTCCAGCAGAGAGAACAAAATTCCTTTTAAGAACTCAATCCTTGACACAATTTACATTTTTTAAGCAAGGTAACGCATACTTGTCTTCTCAAAGGCTTATTATGTTGTTTAAAATGTATAACGTATGAATATTAAATCACAAGAACTATAGCAAATAATATCACCCAATTGTCATGTAGATTTTCTTCCAAGGAAAAGAACTAAAAATATACACAAATCCACTCAAATTACCCAGGCTATATTGGGTTCTTTTGGAATTTTTTAAAAACTTATTTTATATTTAACCCATATGCTTCTCATGTGATTTTCCTTTTTATGGAAATGCAAGATCTGTTTCAGGCATTTGGAAGAAACTGGGTCTATGATGATATGGGAAGGGAAACAGTATTTAATAGTTCCATTCTGAATCATGCTTGAAAATTACTTAGAATGGCTGACAAATGAAACCCTTCCAAAATTAGAAGAGAAGGAAGGGAAGTAGGGCTAAACTAAAAGATATAGTGAACAAATTTTTCTTATATTTTGAAATAATGCATTGACCTTTAGCATCAATGAATGCTGAGTTTTATTACCAAATAACTGAATTAAAAAATATTTTTAACTTATAGAATCTGTGAGCTAATACCTGCCCTTATGATACTTAGCTAAAAGTCAAACACAAGTTAGTGGATGGCATTGCAACAGGAGAGAGAAGAAAGTTAGAAACAGAGGACTGTCCTTTGCTCAGGGGGTGGGGAGGAACAGGAAGAAAACTGAGGTAAGAGAACGTTTATCTGTCTTTCAGGATGGAAGTGGATGGTCAAGAATAGTCATTTCAGGACGGGGTGGGGCCCAGGGATGGGAGACTAAGGGTGGGGGACGTGGGAGTCAGGCATGTACCCTAATCCTCCAGTGCCCTTGGCTCCCAGGCATTAGCCTAGGTACGTCTATGCCACTTGGATGGACCAGGGCATCCTTTTTTCTGCCATCTCTGCCTCCTCTGCCCAGGACACCTAAGTCTGCCCAGGACAGCTAGCGGCCATCCTTCCATCCCCTGCCTGGCCCCCTGCTCCCCTGAACAGCCCGAAGAGGTAGGAGGCTGAGAGCGAGTTAGGGAACAAACAGGAAGCTATGGGCTCTTATTCCTTTAGTTATTCATGACCGGATGGATGGAGGAATGAATGAATGAATGAATGAGCTTATGAACATTTATTCATTTATACTGAGAGTAAGCTGCCGTGGGAGAGACTAGAAAGATCGGGAGTGGTGAAGGTCACGGCAATTCCTACCAACTAACTGTTCGTGGCTGCCTGAAGATGGCTGTTGATAAAGGTATGAGTGTGCTGGGCTCGGTGAGAAAGATGCCAAGACGAATTACGAGGGGCTGCCGAGGGCATGGAAGGGGAGAGTGGCCACCCAGGCAGCCAACGTGCATCCCTGGTTTAGGAAGCAGCATTTGAGCTGGGACTTGAAGGTCAGGAGGAGCTGGGTGCTCTGGAAAAGGGGACCGTGCGGGGACAGGGTGGCCACACTTGGGGAGGCCTGTTACAGTGCAGAAGCCGGAAAGTGAGAGATTCCCCCTAAAAATGGCTGAGGCTGGCGTTGGCCAAACTCAGGTGGGTGAGCAGGTGAAGAGGCTGCAGGTTAGGGGGCTGGCCATGGAGGGCATTGCTTTCTCAAATTATTGATTCTTTTTGTGTTGTCCATTCCCTAGCACCAATCCCTACTTGTTTTCCAAGCTTTTCCAAGTCTCCGTGTCTCAGTGGACCCTCAATAAAGATTTGATAGAGAATCATGTAGCTGGTGCTCATGAAGAATCGTTGTGGGCCCTGGGAACAAACACCTCTCTCCAGTTCAGAAGTGTCTGAACCAATTAAGTGATCTCAGGAGCCAGAAGCAAGTCACAGGCCAACTAGTGATCCATGAATCATAAGAAGTTGTTTCTTCACATGACATCATTTTCTAGACACAGAATTCTCCAAACTCCAGGTGAAAGGGCTTATAACCAAGGTAACCACCGTCATGTCATCAGGATAATTTAAGACGTAAATCAAGACATGGTTACGCAAAACAAAACCACAATATCTTTTCCCCTTTCATTGGTTTTTGCTGATAACCCTCCTTGTGCTTTAAGAGCTGTGACACTGCTAACACCGACTTAGCGTCGGGTATTATTTTTGAAAGATAGGCTTGTGGAGCTGTTTGAAGAACAATCATCCTCTTCAAAAGGAAGCTGGGTGCAAAGGAGATACTTTTCCCTACTTAGGTGGTGCCCAACCCTGTCATTTCTGCAGAAACCACTTGATTTGGTTGTAAGTTTTTTTCTTCTTAAATACTCACATATAAAATTCCAAAAGCCAATAAAAAGGTCACCTCCCTCAAGTCCTGAGAGCACAGTGGCTTTCAGGAGATCATGTAGAATTAACCCCACCCAAGCTCCATCCTCTTTCACACATTTTATAGACGATAAACTATGACCAAAAAAAAAGCAATAATGAGAAAGTGCTATTTTGACCAGGAATCAGAAGGCCTGTTTATGTAGAAGTAATTATGGAGAGACCTGCACAGCCTCAAAAATCAGTCTGGCTGCTACTTCTCCTCAGGCGAACATGAATTTGGCCCACTTGCTGGCAACTCTCTACGAGTGCTTTACATGGCTGAGCACCAGATTAAGACAGAAAAAGCAGTGTCAACTTTTTGCAAATTAATACCACTTAGTTGATGACACGCTTTTTTTTCTTCTTTCCATGCCTAGATGTTTAGTGCTGGAGAAAAGAAAGATAAAAAAAGCAGAGATGGGCACTGCTTTAACTCCTTATAGGAGAGCTCGGATCCGCCTTTTTGGTTTCATGACACAACGAAAAAATTGATCTCCTTCACTTTGGCCAGTGCTGTTCTTCCAAGAACTGCTGCTGCTTTTCACACAGCAGCAAACATCACCTTCCTGATGTTAGCAACTGAAAAACAGGTCTGTCCCCTGGCAGCGTCACGAGATGTGGCAGCTGCCAAACTGAGGTTCCGCCTCCCTCCTCCCCACACCCCCAAATACTTGTGTTCTCTCTGTGTGTGCAACCAGTGGGAAGAAAATTAACCCGTAGAAAAGAAAGAGAACAATACAAACGAACCATAGAGCCAAACTTTTAGACACGGAAATTACTTAAAATCTTTGAAAAAATAAGTTGAGGTCTTCTGGAGGAAAAACACATCAGTTCTTTGGAAAATATCCCCAAGCCCACCTCCTCCTTTCAGTTGGACTGAGAACTGATAGAGAATTTACACCTCAGTGAATCTGTGTAGTTGCGGCAAAACCACAGACCTTGGAGAACAGATTCAAATTCATTGTTCTACCCAATAAGGCAGGAGCCACCATCAGCATGGGGCAAAACAGTCTCCATTTAGGGCCCGACTGAGCTACCTCATGGTTATAAAATAATTCAAAGACCAGCTGCTAGACCCGGTGGCGGTCTAAATAAAGAGGCAGGAAAGAAAAAGAAAAAGCATCCCAGGATAAAGGTGGTCCATGAACGGGCTTTGTGGTTTTAGAGTTTGGGAGGATTCTGTGAAGCCCCTTAAATAGTACATATGCATATATTCATTTTTCTGGAGAGAGGGTCTATAACTTTCAGAAAATTCTCAGAGATCCCTGACCACCCCCTTCCCATAATACAGCAAATAATCCCCGGAACCAGAGGAAGCCCTCACCATCAGCAGAAAAGTTCCCTGTAACTACGTAATAAAACAGAGGATGTTCTACCTTCGCAGAAAAAAGTTATAATATTACAACTGGTGGGCTATTCACGCTCAAGCAGTGGTGCAGCAATAAATCTCTATAATGATTTTAAATTGTAAAACCATCCTCCTGGTTCCATAAATATATCCTATGCAGTGTTTATAAAAGGGGTTTCTCATAAAAAGCATCAAAGGACAGCCACTGCCTCATTAATTTGGCCCAGAATCAACAAGCTACACTCAATAAATATTAATTAATCAACGATTAACTAAACAATTTTGTTTGTTGTCCTGAAATTTATAAGAGCTTTTTTTAGGGGGAAATTTGAGGCCTAGGTCGCTTTAAAGAAAAAACCCAAACCCAGAAATCTGAGGGAATGCCTTGCCTTCAGCCAGTCCTGTGGTCAATGTTGGCATTGTCTTCAGGGGTCAATGCGGGGATTTGAGGTCTAATCCCATTGTGAGAAGCCTGAATGCAAAAGGGCATGGGGCACATATAAACCAAGAGAGAGCCCCAGGGGAACAATCCACAAACCCAACATGTGGACTGACTCAAAACCCAGCCTGTAAAGAGGCTTATCAGGAGGAAATGCTCGAGCTGAACTTTTCCCACGTTAGCGTCCCTCTTTCCTGAACGGCACGTGACACTTGTCCCCAGATACTGCACAGAGACCAGGCCTTTTTGCTCAGAAGGGAGAAACCAGCAGAGTCACTTACCTGATGCAGGTGGCTGCTCACTGGAAGGGCCTCCAGAGCCAGGACCTCCCCTCGTGGAGCTGGGAAGCCGTGCATCAGCCCCATCCATGGGCTGGCCTCCCGCCTCTGCCCCACCAGCTGCTTCGGGAGGAAGGCCCATGCCATAGGCGCTCTGGGGCAAGGGTCCACTTTGGGGGCAACCCATCAGGGGTTCCCGGTCCTCCCCAGCAGGGCTCCTGCAGCCGGCACAGCCATCTGCAGAGTTGGAGCTGGCTGCCCAGTGGGGCCAATTGCCACCCTCCACTTCTCTTTGCAAGTACTTTTCGGAGGAAATAGGAATCCAGTCAGTCCTGCACAGAGGCTCAGCGAAGTGGCAGCTTTCGGAATCCACCAAGCTCTCTGTCCCAGTGAAGCACTGGCTTAGACTGTCATTCTCTCCCACCTCCAGGGGTTCAGGGAAAGGCGGTGTGGATGTGCTTACAGGCTGAGTGAAGAATAATATAGAGTCTGGGGTCCGGGGGGGCCTGTCCACGTATTCGTCTTCCGTGGGAATCTGCCTGAAGGGGTCCCCCTCAATCTCGCTGACCAGGGTGAGCATCCCGGCATCTTCTCCCGGCACACAGGGACTGCCACCTGCACACGCACCTCCACTGTCAGGACAGCACATATCTTCAGAAAACATCTTCTGTTCCAGAGTCAGCAGTAAGACACCCTCACAGATTTCACGCTGACTAGGGGCTTCCACACGAGTGCAGCTAAGATTGCTGCCTGAGGACTCCTGCTGATTTAAATTCAGAAGGCAGAGCATTAACCCAGCGATGTTAGAACATGGGTCTGCTAAACGTGGCTGAAAATGGTGCTTATAGTAATTATTTCCACCATAACAAGTACAGATGGAATACTCACTATGTCGCTTTATTTGGGTTATTTAAGATTAGGGGGTGGGGAGAACCCTCAGATAGAGTACAACCAGAATCAGATGAATCTAACTGCATTTCCAATGGGATAGCACGTTTACACTGAAGCAAGGGGGAGAGCTGACCCAAATAACTTTAGAACACAGGATTTTGTCTATACCCTCAATCTAAATTTTTTAAAAACCCTGTAAATAAATATTGAACTCTGGTTAGTAGCTTTGCTTTTTGCTGTGGTATGGCTTAGTGATTCTGAAACTACTTTCTGTGTATTCTGGAACTGAGTAAATATACTGAGAATAATCGGAGCTGGGTTTCTTACTGTTGGAGAAGGGAAGATTCAAATACAGCTAAAGAAAGACTACAATAAATCCTGTAGTGTTGGGACCAGAATTGGAGAAATCAGTATGAGTTCAAGGTTTACAATTTGTATGTCTTTAGGGACTTCCCTGGTGGCACAGTGGTTAAGAATCCGCCTGCCAATGCAGTGGACACAGGTTTAAGCCCTGGTTCGGGAAGATCCCACATGCCACAGAGCAACTAAGCCCGTGCGCCACAACTACTGAGGTCGCAAGCCACAACTACTGACGGCCACGTGCCTAGAGCCCGTGCTCCGCAACAAGAGAAGCCACCACAATGAGAAGCCCGAGCACCGCAACGAAGAGTAGCCCCCGCTCGCCGAAACTAGAGAAAGCTTGCGTGCAGCAACAAAGACCCAACACAGACAAAAATAAAAAAAAATTTTAAATGTATATATCTTTATACTTAAGAACCTAGACCTAAAGGATATAGTGGGATAATTAATGAAATTTTAAGATCAAATGTAAATTATTGATATATAATAGTGTTGTACCACTACTAAATCTTTTGATTTTGATAAAGGTACTATGGATATATAAGAGAATGTCCTTGTTCTTAAGAAATTCACATGAGTATTTAAGGGTAGAGGAACATGATGTCTGCCACACACTCCAAAATGGTTCAAGAGGGCTTCCCTGGTAGCACAGTGGTTAAGAATCCACCTGCCAATGCAGGGGACACAGGTTTGAGCCCTGGTCTGGGAAGATCCCACATGCCAGGGAGCAAGTAAGTCCATGCGCCACAGCTACTGAGACTGTGCTCTAGAGCCCGTGAGCCACAGCTACTGAAGCCCACACGCATGGGCTTTGTGCTCCGCAACAAGAGAATCCACTGCAGTGAGAAGGCTGCACACCGCAACGAAGAGTAGCCCCCGCTAGCCACAACTAGAGAAAGCCGCGTGCAGCAACAAAGACCCAACGCAGCCAAAAAATAAATAAATTAAATAAATAAACTTTAAAAAAATGGTTCAAGAGAAAAAATATACATATGCATATACAAACGTACAGATAGCAAATAATAAAGCAATGTGAAAATATAAACAATTGGTGGATCTGAGTATAGGGCAGGTGGAAGTTTTTTGTACTATCTCACTGCTTTCCTAGAGTTCTGAAGTTATACCAAAATTAAAAGCCACCAAAATAACTACAGAGTACAGGAATGTGACTGCTCTTCCCTCCTAGGAATCTGTCCTAGGCAATAGAGATTGGCACTAAACTAATAATATAAATAATACATGGGCAGAGAGATGACAGAAATGGAATGAAATACAAAGAAAACAGCATTTAGGATGAGCACTGACTTGGGCTTTGGGTTACTCTGTGGGGATCAATCCTGGGATTTGAGGTTCCATCCTCTCAACGAAGTACCCATTCACAATTTGACTCAATATTTGACTAATAATAGTTATATCAGCCAATTTTTTTTTTTTTTTTTGCCTCGTACACTCGGCTTTGTGGGATCTTAGTTCCCCGACCAGGGATGGAACCCGGGCCCTGACAGTGAAAGCGCCGAGTCCTAACCACTGGACCATCAGGGAATTCCCCCAAATTGTTAACAGTACTTAAAGGAGGCACTTAAGACTTTTAAATTTACCTTATTTCCACTTAGGCGGCCGCAAGCTTCATTGACCCAGTGCCACAAATTAGCTAGAAAAACAAAGTAAGGATAAGCGCTTCATATTATTATTTCCTATTTCTAATTCAGCATTATTGACCACTATGTCAGATCAATATTGTCTTTAAACAAAATCGTCTGCAAATCTGAGAGTGAAACATTTAAAAGAAAATCAACCAATTTAAAGACTATGAAGGCATCTTCCTCCTCCTATCAAAAACAGAACTTTTTGATCTATGTAAAGCCAAATCTGATGCCCTAATGTTCCACTGAATACCTTCAGGCACATCTGAGGGCTGTCAGAGCTGCTGTTTTGACTACAGACATTCTCATGCCCTCAGCAATTTTTCTTTGACTATTAGGGACCCTGTTAGGTATTGTAGGGGAACAAAGGTGACGTGGGTCTAGGGGACTTAGCACAAATATATGTATGATAAAAGTAAAGTGCCTGCCAGAATGCTCTGTCAGGCCCCACTGAATTCCAGCGGGCCCCGAATCCTTTTCCCCTACACCCTGCTGCTTCTCAGAAGAAAGAAGAATATGTTCTGTGGCATGTACAAAGTATATCTTCCTTAACTTTTTAAAACAGAACTGATGAAACTTAAAAGGTCAAATCTATGAATTAAAAAAATCTATGAATGTATATAATACAAAGATAAAATTTTATCCCACATCCACTGAATATCTGATGTTGGATTCACTATAAAGACTAAAGCTAAGAGGTTGTCCATTTTCCACTGGAAGATAATGACGTCATCATAATAGGTAATGATGCCTCTTATGTGACCTCGCCTGGTCTATTTAACCTCTCTGAGCCTCAGTTTCCACATCATAAAATGGGGGAAATAATAATGCCTCCCTCTCAGTGCTGTTGTGGAGACTCAGGACACGTAAAATATGTACAGCAGTGTTGGCACATGATAAATATTTAACATGTCAGTTACGACTACCATCATCATTATTATTCGTGCTTATTTTCTATCACTTTAAACTTATATAAAAATAAAGATACTCCAAATAGAAGGAAAGTTGCAGCTCTTTCCTTTTAGGGATCAGGAGTAGACAATTACAGATGATACTAAAAATAACATTTGTACACAGAGGTGGTAATTACTCCTAACTACTATGATAATCTCTCTCCTGGTTGATTGCAAAAGCCCTCCTTACTGGTGGGTCTGCATCCACTCTTTCTGTACCCCCCCACATTTGTTTTAATTACTAAAATAGCCAAATACGAAAACCACAGGGTTGTTCTGCCTCCCTCTGCTCAGGATGGGAGCACATTTCTTAGCAGTTTCATGTCACACTGGTTCTGACTTTCTGTTCCAGCTGCGCTAACCTTCCAATCCCCCCAACTTGCTCTGCTCCCTCCAATCATGCAATTCTCTTTGCATGGAATGCTTTTGATTCTCCTTAGCTCCCCTTGGGCTAGTTCATTGCAACTTGTCTTTCAGATCTCAGGTCCCCTGACTCCGCCCTGGGAGGCCCTGGCTGACCCTGAGGCTGGACAGGCAACTCTGTCACCCCTGGAGCTCTTGCACCTCCCTTTCCACACTCAGCCTCATTCTACGGGCCAATCCCTGCCTTGCTCACAGAGAAGCTTCTTCCATGAGGGCACTGGCTCTGTTTGTGTTGCTCAAGGTTTTGAGACCCCAGTGTCTGTCCAGTCCCTGGTAGCCAAAAAACATGTGTTGAATGAAGGGATGAAAAGAAAGCTGACAGTCACACATCCCGACTCAGTGATGGGCGGGCCCATTGCCTTTGCCATTGGTAAGATATGGCCAAAAGAGATTATCACAGAGAAAAAAACTAAAGAATAAAACACTGGGAGTCTGTTTATCTCCTGAAAACATGGCTATATGAGTGAGCAATCCATCAGCATCTCTGAACATGTATTATTCAAATCCCCAGTTCTGATGTTGGGGAGGTGAAGTTGCATTAAATAACAATATTCAATAATGATAGACTTTTAAAAAAGTTAATTCCAACTTTTCCTCTTCAAATACTCTCTGCTTAACACTGGCATCGTCAGTCACCATCTTCCCTCTTTAATCTTTTGATTGCCCAGTGTTACATTAGACAATGGAATGTTAATGGAAATAGTAAGGTGTGCAGGATTTCATGAAGTCTATGGATGTGACTGTGAGAGAACTGATGGAATCACAGCAAAGCAAAGGTGGACAGAACAAGTGAGCAACTGAAAATGGGAAAGGATGGTGCGACCACAGGTGCTTCAAAAGACAATGATGTGCACTAGGTTTAGGAAACGTAGTGAAGCCTTGGACAGTTTCTTAAAAATTATACTTTGTAGCTTTGTAGTATAGAAGTCAAACAGGATGTGATGTTAAAAGACACTATCAAACAATTTTTTTTTTGGTGGAAAAACTATTCCCAATAAACAAGACAACACTTGATTATTCATTCTAAGAATGAGCACCTGCATTTTACTGAATATAAGACCGCTTATTTTCAGAATTTTAAATTCACCTATCAGGGTAACACCCCAGTCAAAGCTTTCCATCTGTCATTTACCTGAACATTTTGTCTCTGTTTTAATTAAGTAATTAATTAAATTTAAGTAATTAAAAATGTTTGTGTTCTAGGATAAATGCAACCTCTGTATATCTGACAGTATATAATCTATACAACAGTCATTGGTTTCCTGCACCTAGAATATTTTTGTTTGCATATACATAAACAGGCACGATGGATTTTTGTTCATTTGTTTGTTTTGCCAGAGAACAATGAATTAGGTATAAAGCGTGTGTCACCTTAGTTTAAACAGATCACCAGAGGCAGTCGGAGGGCAATATACGCCTCTTCAAAGCATACGCCTAGAAATGTATCTATTGGCTTTAAGATTCATTTTCAAAACCCACCATAGACACAATACCTGTTAGTGCTTTCCCTTTTTTCCTATAGTAAACACCAAAGATGACAGCAGCAACTAATGCCACAGATATGAAGAGAAGCAGAATAATTAAACTGGGCAAGTAAATCTGGGGTTCTGTGTTGGAAGAAAATGAGAAAAATGGCATTAAAGATGGTTTATTTTTACTTTCTCCATTTAAAAACATAACCCTGGGCTTCCCTGGTGGCGCAGTGGTTGAGAGTCCGCCTGCCGATGCAGGGGACACGGGTTCGTGCCCTGGTCCGGGAAGATCCCACATGCCGCGGAGCGGCTAGGCCCGTGAGCCATGGCCGCTGAGCCTGTGCGTCCGGAGCCTGTGCTCCGCAACGGGAGAGGCTGCAACAGTGAGAGGCCCGCGTAACCCAAAAAAAGCCAAAACCAAAACCAAAACCCATAACCCTTTCAATCAAACCCCAGAATCAAGGGTGTTGGTGTGGAATAAGAACAATAGGAAGGTCCCCGGCCCTGACTGTAGAATTTGTCAGGAAGAGCTCCCGTTCAGAAGGGTGAAATCAACAATGCAGCCCGGTCCTGCCGGCTGCCATAGCTCTGAGGGGCCAGCCCAGGACCATATTTAAATGCTTCTACTTTAGAACAACTCTAATAGGGATGAGCACACCATCCATCATCTTTGTTTACCTACAGAACACTTCACTCTGTCTAGGTGGATGGGCCCTGGAGGCAAAAGGAAGCCCCTTATCAAATCTCTTTCCAAATAACAACATGGCACCAGGTTTTGCTGGTCATGAGAACAGAACCATAGCCATCCTGCAAAGTGTTTCAGGTACTTCATCTACAACACAGTGTGGACTCAACCATTTTTTTCATCCCCCCTTGATCACTTAAATGCTAGTACCTTTATATTATAAGCTCTTGGTTTACATGACCTGGTTTCCGGACTCTTGCTTTTCCTCTCCTTCTTTTTTCTTTTTTTTTTGGCTGCATTGCTGCTGCACGCGGGCTTTCTCTAGTTGTGGCAAGTGGGGGCTACTCTTCGTTGCGGTGTGTGGGTTTCTCATTGCCGTGGCTTCTCTTGTTGCAGAGCTTGGGCTCTAGGTGCACAGGCTTCAGTACTTGTGGCACACGGGCTCAGTAGCTGTGGCTCACAGGCTCTAGAGTGCAGGCTCAGTAGTTGTGGCACACGGGCTTAGTTGCTCCGTGGCATGTGGGATCTTCCCGGACCAGGGCTTGAACCCGTGTCCCCTGCATTGGCAGAAGGATTCTCAACCATTGCGCCACCAGGGAAGTCCTCTCCTTCTGTTTTTTTTAAGACAGTTTTTTATTCCCTCAGTTATTCTGAATGTCCTCTTAATAGTCTTTTTAAAATGCTGCTCTGACTGTGCAATTCCTTATCCAGAACGCTTTGATGTTCTCCCGTTTGCCAAAATGTCAAAGCTAAGGCCTTGATTTTCTTAGTCAACGTTCATCAACCCCATCGCTCTGTGGCCTAGGTTCTCTTGCCTCATTAGAAAGGTTTTCTTGCCACTTATGCCTCCTCTTGTGCTGTGATACCTGGACCCACCTTCACAGCATCTCGCTCACCTGGGTAAGCAGCTTCCGCCATTAACTGTCAACTTTCTGTCAATCATTGAAACTGTACTTGAGATTGATTTGATCCACAGGATGTTCCAGAAATAATGATGACTATCTTCTAATAAGTTGCTAACTCTGGCTGGTGACCAAAATCTCCCATAGGTACCCTACTGGGACCACTGTGACCACCACCATCCTATCACATTTGGGCATTTTAATTTATGTTTGCACCTCAGTTTTCTTTCTGGTTTTGGCATACACGAATAAATTACTAGTTATCCATTCCTTTTTTGGGCACATACGAATAAATTACTAGTTATCCATTCCACAGTAGAAAATTATCAAATAAACAACATATCTGGAATTAAAATACTAATAAAAATGAAATACTGAGCTGACCATGGATAGGACGAGATGAAAAGGGAGAAATGGACGCCTCTGGATATAGCATGTAATTCGGGAGAAATCTAGAAGAGCTGACTAGACTGGGGCACATCTACCCAACCAACCTGCTCTATTCAACATACCATTTGGTGGTTTTGTAGGTGGAAGAGAACTACAAACCACATCTGATTTATCGGTCCCGTGAAGTGCTTCTGTCTCTCCAAGAATGGTACAGCTGTGAAGGGAAAGGTAGGTAAGTGCTTTGGTTTTATATTCTTATTAAAGCTACAAAAGGTTCTATCCCTTTAGATTGCAAGCTCATTCAGGAGAGGAACCAGGTCTTTGTGGATGTTTGAATTGCCAGTGTCTAGCCACACATCATTAAGGTGGACAAAGCCAATAGTAACTACGGCCAGTGTTCTCTAAGAACTACTCTGAGAGCATGGTCCAAAAGAGAAAAGACTGATGGCTGCAGTAAAGAAGATTCCAAATTCAGTTACCATGGCTAAGTGATGAACTTTGGATGAATACCCTTTCGAAGTTGAAATCACAGAAAATCTTTTCAAAATAAAACTTGGATAAGTGGATCAGAAAATAAATATTTTACGAGAATTCATTTATTGGGAACTAAAAGAATCATGAGATTAATTATGAGTATTCAACAACAAGCATGCCATGAAAGGACTCAGGAATTTCACTCTGGATATACTCACATAAGTGTGAGATAGTATATAGAAAAGACGATTCATTGCAAACTTAGTTACTACTCCAAAAGACTGCAAACCACTTAAATGACTATCAATAGAGAGCTTATTAAATAAATTATGGTACATCTCTATGATGACATACTATGTAGCTATAAAAAGCCACAAAGATCTAAGTGAACTAATATGGAATGAGCTTCCTTCAGGATATATTATGCGGAAAAAAAAAACCCAAGTGTGTAAACATTTATTTAAACAGGAGGCTTCTCTTTGCACATACACCACACACACACACACACATCTTTGTACAAGTAAACCAGTGATGCTGGGAAGCTGGGAAAAGTGGGACTGGTGAGTGATAATAAGCATCGTTAAGTAATTTGCAACTAAATAAGGTTAGAAAAAGGGAAAAAGCAGCTGCAACTATAAGTCAAAGCTTCAGTCAGACTGAATCTAACAAGCAATACACAGCTCCTGTCACACATCAGGGAGAAGATTGGCTGCACTGGTTTATGGCCCTCATGCCCAACTGACAGGCTTTTTCTGTTGTGAACCTGGCTTCCAGAGGAAGCCTCATCAAACGGAATCAGTCTGTTTTCAAAACAGATGAGACAGCAGAGGCTGAGTTGGGTTTAAAATCAACAAATCCTCTGGGTTCCTTCGTTGTCACTTACTTGGTCCAGGGTTTGCACTTTTCTGTGGAGGAAGAGGCGTCGGAGAAGTAGCCTGCGAGGCAGGGCTCGCACACCGTGTCCTTGTTGAGCTGCACTGTCAAAAAGACCAACGGACAAAAGAACACAAGACAAACGAGGACACTTAGAGATCGGCCAGGAGGATGGTCCAGAGGACCAGAGATCAGAAGCGCCCCGCCTGCCTCTTGCCTCCCCATTCCTGCCCTCACCACCTGCGGCCGGTGGCCGAAGTCCTCACAGACTTCAGAGGGCCCGAGACCCCACAGCAGGTGACAGCACTGTGTCCAGAGGGGAACTGGCTCACTGTCAGGGCGCCAACGCCAGATCTGAATTAGATCTAGCTCTCTGGTCCGGACCCTCTGCCAGTCAAAGCCACCGTCCTGGTCACCGATCCTTTGTTTCCTGGCCAGGGAGCCTGCTATCTGTTTTGTTTTAATCAAGCACCTGCCTGTTCTCCCGTCTCTCCTTTGGGGCTTACACCAGGCTTTGGGTACAGAGAATGGCAGCCCATTTACCGCTTTTAAAGGAAACTTCTTGTCTTGACCCTTTCTGATCAATACTCTCACCAGTCTAAGTATCGGAGTGTTGACAAAACAAAACAAAGAGAAAAGAAAAAAACGAACCAACCTACAATATAGGTCTCTTTTCCCTAAACCAAGGGTTGGTAGTAACAGTTTTCTATAAAGAGCCATACGATAAATATCTTAGGCTTTGCAGGCCCTCTGGTCTCTGCAAATTACTTGTAGTGTGAAAGAAGTCACAGATAATGTGTTAAAAATAAATGGATGGGGCTGTGTCCCAATAACATCCTATTTACACAAACAAAAGTGGTGGGATGGATTTTGGACCCCTGCCTTAAGCCATAGCACTGAAAGCAGGAATTGATCCTGGTTAGTAAGCTGTCTTCACCTCTCATATTCCACATGAACTACATTATCAAAATAGGAAATGTCTCAGATTTCCTATGTCTATTACCTTTACTGCAATTGACACATGATGACCCTTTGGTAATTCCAGTAAAGACGGACACTGGCTACCATGTGATATCATAATAAGCAACTGGCTTGTGCCAAAACCACAAATCACTCTTGAAATTAGTAGCACTTCTGTGGTTTATTTTCATGAATAAAACCCTAAAATAAGGAATTACATTTTCTTTGTCCAAAGTCAAGTGGGAAGTACATGGGCAAGGGTGTGACAACAGATATGGGGTATTTGGGATCAGGTTCAGTTGTTCTGAGTTCAAATATACTGCAAGGCAGGGGTAAAATTTTCAGTCATCCACGTCACCCCCTCTACCCTCCACCTATTGCTGAAGAATGCACCATTTCCAAAGGAGCAAAGCAGAGAGGACATTGAGCAGAGAAAAAAAAAAAAAAAGCAGAAAGGGACCAGCACCTTTTTATTTTTTTGTTTTTTTTTTACCAGCACCTTTTTTCATGCAGCTAACAAACTTTTGGAAAGGCTCTGGGTCTTGCCTATATCTCAACCAGAATTCAGAAGGGAGCAGGCTGTCATAGGGAGATTTATTTTAGTAATTAAAAAATCGTCAGACTTCTTCCCACGAGAAAGCCTGTCTGGTTTAATTGAAGGACTGACTGTGCCAGACTCTGTGATGGACATTTTCCTCCATACGAAATGAAATGAATAATATTTTAAATTCTCCCAACCCTGTGTTTTACTTTTATAATTATAATATAGCAAAATATAATATATTCAGCTTTTGGACCAACTGTGTATAATAATAACTGTAGTAACAACTCAGTCCAGGAGAAACGTTTTTATGCTTAGAACCCTGAGTCACAAGAAATTTTTAAAAATAAAAATTTCAAATAGGTGCATTTTTTTTTCATGTGAAAGAGTATGAAAAGGTGATTAGCATAAACTTCCCCGAGCCTAAAAATACATTATGATAAAACTCTGTGGGGAAGGTGAAATGGATACAAATCAAAGGAGAGAAAAGAACTATATAAACTTTCCAACAGTTAAAGACGATCAGTGCATTTTTAAATGGATGATGATGGCTATTCAGTTGCTATCCCATGTTTTGATTCCGCTGAATATTTTAGAAAGTGTAACTTACTGCTGTTCCAATTCCCTGGAAACTAAGTCCTTAAGCAACTCTTTCAATTTGTAATAAAAATATATAGCTGTCTATTTAAAATGTTGGCAGGAGGTACACGGCTTTTCAAAATTCTCCTAAGAGGGTGCACATGTTTAAAAAAAAAGTTTGGGGACCCCTGCATGATCCGGTTCCCCCCTTAGTGGGCATGGGAAGGTTCAAAAGGAGGAGCCTTGAGAAGAGCGCGTGGGCCGAGCTCTCACATTCCCCCAGAGGCGCACAACCTGCAGTCCGTTCCCAGGGAACCCTCAGCCTCCTCCAGCGCCCCCTGGTCCTGAAGAGTGTCATGACTCAGGGAAGCCGTCTGAGAGGCCGCTTTGGCCTGGGGGTACTTGCACGGCTTTGGGAGCGCCGCCAGACGCGGGACCCCGGCTCGTACCCGGGAGCCGGGCGCCGAAGCCGGGCGCGCACTCGGCGTTGCGGCGGCAGCAGCGGCAGTCCTCGCTCCAGTGGTACCCGGCGGTGCAGGCGCAGCGCCGCGGAGCCGTCCGGTTGCCGGGCTCCACGGCCACCAGGGCCTTGCCTGCGGGAGAGAAAGAGGGCAGCGAGGCAGCGGGAGCAAGGGCGGATACACACCTTCCACCTCGTGCCCCTCGCTCTCCAGCACCACCAGCCCCAAACCACCCAGACCCCCCCGGACGCAGCGCACGGATGAATCACTCAGGACACTGGGATTCAGGAACTCCCAAGTTCCCCCTCACACTTCCTGTGCTGGCACTAAAACATCCCAGAAGGTTATGTTGGTTTTTTTTTTCTCTCTCTCTCAATAATTAAGAGCCTTGTGGTTTTTGAAAAGTCAGTTTTCATGTTGGTAGGAAGATTAAGGCCTGGGGAGTTTCTGATCATTGACTATTTTGATGAATGCAAAATAATCGACTTACAGCTTCTTGAGTTTTAGTAAATTCAAATGTGATAAACATTCTTAACACCAATGCTAGATCAGACCTAAGAGAATTGGGTTTCTGGAGACTGGGGAGTCATCTTGGGATCCCGCAGGACTGCAGGATTATTCAGAGTCCTGAAAATAGGCGTCACTGTGGGATTAGATACGGGCAAAGTAAGGAGGTTGGGCCTGGTGACAAACTTGGAAATTAATCTCTCCCCCCAAACTTAGGACAACACGTTCGTTGTCTCTTTTCTCACAACACATAGCAAAGCGCTCTCTCCTTATCTCAAACCTCCTGGCCCTTTCCAGTTTTTGTGGAATAGAGGTAAATGCTCACACACAGTCGACCCTCATTATTCGCTGGTTCATGTAGGCAATTTCGCCTACTAGTTAAAACTTAATCGTAACCCCCAGATCAATAACTCCTGGTGCTTTTGCAGTTATCCTCCAACACATGCAGAACAGCGAAAATTTTGAGTCACCAGCTGGACGTGGATGTCCCCAGCCAAGGGCAAACGGGGTGACACTGCCTTCTAGTTTTAGCTGTCACACTGGAAATCAGAGTCCTTTTTGTGGGCTATTTAGTGTCCTATTTTTGGCATTTTTGTGTTTTTTATTGGTGAGTTCACTGTTTAAAATGGCCCCCAAGCATAGGGCTGAAGTGCTGTCGAGTGTTTCTAAGTCCAAGAAGGCCATGATGTGTCTTCTGGAGAAAGTCCATGCATTAGATAAACTTTGTTCAAGGCTGTTTATTGTGAGTTCATTGTTAATGAATCAAAATATTTCTTAAATAAGGTGTCTTTAAACAGAAACACATACAAAATGAGGTTATGTTCACCTACCCAGGAGTGGTGGTTCAGTATTTGCTAGCTCAGTGTTTGTGGTGACTTTATAGAACATAACTACCATGAATAACAAGAATTACCTGCACACACACATGCATACATGAAACAACACAATAACATTTATTTAAAACAGACTTCCTACTCCTCCTATACATCCCCATCTCACCTGGATTGTCCAAACAGCCCTTGTACTTTATATTTCTGAATACTTATCAGAGTTTGTTATGGACTGATGTTTGTGTCCTCTCAAAATTCATACGTTGAAATCCTAACCCCCCCCCCCACCGCAGTGTGATGATATTAGGAGGTGGGGGCTTTGGGAGGTGATTAGGTCATGAGGGTGGAGCCCCCATGAATGGGATTAGTGTCCTTATAATAAGAGACGGCACAAAGCTTGCTTCCGCTCTCTCTCCGTTCACCACCATGTGAGGACACAAGAAAGTGGCTGTCTTGAAACAAGGAATAGGGAACACACCAAGAGCCCCACCATGCTGGCACCCTTATCCCAGACTTCCAGCCTACAGAACTGTTCTGTATATATATTTGTTGTTCAAGCCACTGAGTCTGTGGTATTCTGTTATAGCAGCCTGAACTGCCTAGGACAGAGTTCCAAGAGAAAACAAAGAAACCAGAAACCTGTTCCCTCCTTCACTGTCTCAAGTTATAACCAGCAGGAAGGGAATGCTTCCTGTTCCCATTCTTTTCAGACCAGAGCTGGGTGAACCTGAGAAGTCTCCACTCCCTTCTGTGTCCACTCTCCAAGGCCCAGGTCAGCTCTGAAGCACCAAGACCAACTTGCATAAACATGGACATACTGTCTGGAACATACAAACAAGTGTCATTTTCCTTGGAAAATTTGAATTCCAGTATCCCACTCAAAAGTAAGTGCATGTGGACTTCCCTGGTGGCGCAGTGGTTAAGAATCTGCCTGCCAATGCAGGGGACACGGGTTCGAGCCCTGGTCCAGGAAGATCCCACGTGCTGGGGAGCAACTAAGTCCGTGCGCCACGACTACTGAACCTGTCCTCTAGAGCCCGTGAGCCACAACTACTGAAGCCCGTGCGCCTAGAGCCCATGCTCCGCAACAAGAGAAGCCACCACAATGAGAAGCCCGCGAACCACAACGAAGAGTAGCCCCCACTCGCCGCAACTAGAGAAAGCTTGCATGAAGCAACAAAGACCCAACACAGCCAAAAATGAGTAAATAAAATAAATAAATTTATATATATATATATATGTAAGTGCATGTAAGCCTGTGTGGTTTGAACAATTTTGACATATTTTAAAATATCTTAATGCGCTAGGTTTGGGGCTTTAATCAATTTTGGCAGTAGACAGAGTGAATCTTTCTTTCCAAGAGACAGCAATGAGTCAAGCTCATTACTAAGCAGTGGGAAAGAAAAAAGACTTGATCAGATGCTTCTGCTCAATGGAGTTTCCATGTTACCTTCTCTGGACAAAGTCTGCCAGCTGTCTCTAACACTTTAGAAAAATTACAATGTTTAGAAAAATGCTTATTTCCTAGTTCTGTCTACTGAAAAAACAAACAAACAAACCTATATACAAGGATCAATCCAGTAGCAATGAGTGCTTCCCAGCACCCAGACTGAAGCTGCTAAATAAGATGTTCTGCTGAAAGCAATGAGAAATCCTTGGAGAAATGGCTGATTCCACCTTTAGGGCAGGAAACGTCCAAGGTGAGGCTGGGAGCAAGAGAGCTCAGAAGGACACCGGGGTCCACATCGAAAGACTTGGGGGCCACCTGGGAGAGGTGAGATAATCCAAGCACCAGTAAAACTAGTAACCGCAATAGATTAAAACACCTCAAAGACGTAAATGCATGAGTTCCTAATATTCATACAATTCCTTTGGAGACAACTTGGTGATCAAGTCATTATTTTGAAAAGTGGTAAATAAAGTTACAAGCATTCATTCTGCCTTTCCTGTATATACTGTACTTCAGGGTAACAACCTGTTGATGAGGGAAGTTTCTCTTTAGAAAGCATTCCAGCCAATAAAGGAAGAAGGGATGATGGAATTAGAACATCACCTTTCTGCAGCCCCTAATGAAAATGGATCTAGGCCACGATCATCAACAGCTGCTAATATCACCCAAAAGAGGGCGCAGCAGCTACTCTGTGAGTACTGACATCACCACGTCATGCTCACCTTTGAAGGAGCTTTGCCAAAAACAAAGCAGAAAAACCCGGATTCTGATCAGCCTTCTAGATCTAATAACCCCTTTACAGGAAATATCGGAGATATAAATATTCATTCATGTATATATATATATATATATATATATATATATATATATCTGAATCACTTTGCTGTATAGCTGTATAGCAGAAACTAACACAACACTGTAAATCAACTATACTTCAATAAAAACAAAACTATTCCAGAACAGAAGTTCTACATGAAGAATTTTAACACAATCCTTCTGGGATCCGAAGCACATCTTTCTGGGGGTCTGTGGTCAAAACTTCTTCCCATGGCCCCTAAAAGAGACAATATTGCTGTATCTAAAAATATCATTTATCCACACAGCCCCCGACATGACTGACTCACCTGTATCACAAACTTTATGCAGCAAGCATTTATCTTCTTCATTCCAGGTGTCCAGGTATTCATCCGGGCCACAGGGCAGACAGACGCTTTCAGAGGTAGCAGTGCATTTGGAAGACAAGTACTTTCCTTAAATTAGAAGGGGAAACATGCACCAATCAAAAATACTTCCTCCCAAAAAAGCCAACAAATCAACAAAAAATGTACCAATCTGGGAATTCCCTGGTGGTCCAGTGGTAAGGACTCTGTGCTTTCACTGCTGTGGGCCCAGGCTCAAGCCCTGGTCAGGGAACTAAGATCCTGCAAGCCATGGGGTGTGGCCAAAAAAAAAACCAAGCACCAATCTACTGGACCCCTTACATGACCATAATCCCAGGACATCCCCCAAAGGTAGGCTGATACATGAGATAAGACCACATCTCACAGCAACGGCTCCTCAGCCCTCCCGGCTGGCTCAGATAACCTCTCCTGGGTTTGCTGTGCCTGTGTTCATGGCAGTCTTTTAGATCTTCTAAGTAAAAGATCACCCCTTCCACCGCAAACCTCTGCTGACTAAGAAAAAGAACTATGGTTTTCAAACTGGTGCCTGCAGAACTTGAGGGGTTCCCTGGGGGCTAAGCAAGAGGAACTTCCTCTCGCCTCTCCCCTCCCATCTTCAAAACCCCTCTACTGTCAACCTGGATAGTTAACTTCTTTTGTCCCAAGTATACTGTGGGCTCACGGTTAACTTAGTTTCATCAGAGAGTAATACACACACACATGCACGCATGAAAATCACTGGATCTTCATTCTACGAACCCAAAAAGTATTTGTAGCTGAAATATCTAAAGGATCTTGTTATAAGGTAAGCACCTTTTCCTCAAAGCTCTCCTCCTCTCCCCAGAACAGTGAGTGAGTGAGGACCCTCTGGACTTGGGGCTTCACTGAGGCCATAGAAACACTTGGTCACCTTCTGGCAGAACAACTTTGGGGAAGTGGTGACCAGTCCACCTTCTACCCCTCAGCAGGTATTGTGGGGAGGAGTTATAACAGGGTTTTGACAATTTTTAGCAGTGATTCTAGGATAGATTACCACCCCCATCCTCCGCTAATTTCTGTGAAAATAATACTTTTTTTTTTTTTTTGGCCACACCGCATGGCTTGCAGGATCTTAGTTCTCCCACCAGGAATCAAACCTGGGCCCTTGGCAGTGAAAGTGCCGAGTCCTAACCACTGGACCGCCAGGGAATTTCGCAAAATAATACTTTTAAATAAGAGTTGTGTCTCATATTTTGAGAGTTTGAATCACAAACTTCTAAAACAGAGTTTCAGAAACCATCTTGCCTTCTCAAGAAACAGCGTTTTGGAAAGCTGGTACTTAATTCATGTTCCAGCATGTACTTAATTCAAGTACCAGTTTCTGAAATTGCTCTTGATTTTTAGCTGATTTTATCTACTGAGAGAAGTTTTTGTCTTCAGAGTGACAAACACCACTACCTGCCACCGCCATAAAAAGCCTACCCAATTTCTTTTTTTTATCTGGCAGGACAGAAATGGTTCCTTAGATTAAAAAAAGAACCCCACCCGCTTTTGGAGTACAATGACAGGAGGTTTAGAAGTACAAACCTGGTTCACATTTGTTACAGCATCGTCCAAGGTGCTCGTAATGCCTCTCGCTAGTACACGGAGAGGTGATCTGAAAAGTCACCTAAAGAGAAAGTGCGCATCAGGTAGAGATTAGGCACAAGTTCTTTCTAGAGAAAACAGAAAGTGAATTACTGACTCACATTTCTGAAAAGTATAAGAAATCACCATAAACAGTCCTGAAACAGCTCTGCATAATACCACCCCCCTCCCAAAGATGTCGCTTTACTATTCTAGCCCATTTCTCCCTAACAATGTACAAAACCAATGATTCTGGCACCCAAATCCATTTAAGCATTTAAAACAATATCGGTCATGCTCATGGTAATAGGCTGGATGAAAGGGAAATTTACAAATGGTACACAGAAGGTTGAAAACCGCTTTACACAACCCATGTACGAAATTGGTCCCACTTCTGTGTCATCACATGGTGGACAGTTTGCTCAGCCCACTTTGGTCATAAAACTGTAGAAGGACAGAATGGGGCCCCTTAACATGTGTCTTATACCAGGGGAGGCCAACTGTGGTCTTACAAGCTAGCTCTGATTTTAAAAAGATGCTTAATGCCGCTTACCTTTTAAAATTTTAAACACGCAGAGAATCTGAAAAAGTGGGACAGCAAGGGGTTACAGGAAGCCTTCTGGCTTACAGCCAGGAGCCCTGACCGACCGCCCGCTGGCTGAGGGATCCCCGACAAGCTGCTTCAGCTCTTTGAACCTTGTCTCCTTTCTGTATGATTCTAATACCAATACTAATTTCCAAGTCTGCTCATCTAAGCAGAACAAAACAAAAAGCCAAGTCCCCTACAATCACTCAGATTCTTATCAGTTTGCCACAGAAAAGCCCTTTTCTTTATCAGCTTTCTCAGTGTCAGAAAAAAACCCACACATTCCTGTTGACAGGCAGGCAGTGGAGCGATGAACTGAATGAAGTGGAAGCGTTGGGCCCAGCTGCAGACTTCACACCGTGCGTACCAAGGGTCCGGCTCCTGCTGGGTCCCAGGGATCCAGAGTTACAACCTTGCCCTCAAGGGACTTCCGCACACCAGGGTGTGTGCTATGATGGAGCCAGGTGGGTCCCTCCCTCAGCTGAAGGCCAGGGGAGGTGTCCCAAGGAGTGTGACAAGTGAGCACAGGTTGGCAGGATAAAAAAGAACTCAGCCAGATGAGGAAAAAGGAACTGGCCCGTGGAAGTGGAGGGCAGGGCAAGGAAGCTGTCTTTGGCAGAGTATGAGATGTTCAAACAGGGATACTGAGGCCTGAAGTGGCATGTCGGGTGGGGCTGGCAGTGGAGACCATCAGCAGAGTCCTGGGAGACGAGACCAAGGATGGTCAGAGCAATCAGAGGGCTTCACCTGCCTATTCAAGAGCTTGGATGGGAGGTGTAGAAATAGTGTAGCTTGGAAGAAGCCGTGCATCCTCACAGTACCTCAGTTATGAAGGAAGTTTTCTAGAGAGAGCACCACACCCAGAAAAACCCAGGCTAGCTGAGTAGGGTGTGCAGGATGCCCCCAGTATGGACCTCTCCGACCTCCCCCAGGCCAGGTAAAGGGCTTCCGGGAGGGTTGGGGCCAGGGACAGTTACACTGAGGCTGATGAGAATGTCAAATGTGCTTCTGGAGCCAGGTATGCCAGGAAGGTTGTATTCGGACTTGCTTCCGAGACCTGTCTAACACTCTCTGTGGACCCCTGATAACATGGACTGATGTTCCCCGAGCATTCACCACATGACAGGGTCTGGTGGACAGTGCAGTGAGCCCACTGGACACTAGGAAGAATGATGTAATGGAAATCACCCCACCGCTCCTTTCGGGTCTTTTTCTCTCTGTTTTTATAGGAATCTGTTTCTCTGCGCCTGGCACGGTAACGTGTGCACACAGAAGAAAGACGCGCAGAGGCAAAACGGTGAAGCTGAATTCGGCCAGGGCAACTTTTGTCTCACACACAGGATCTGTCTGAGCCTGAAGATATGTGAGCGCTCCTGCGATGCTGATGACAAAGGCAAACGAGAGAAATGTGTGGTTGGAGATAAAGGTCGATTGCTTCTGACCCATAAGAAAGCTGCAAGAGTCTCTGTAAGATGAGCACAGACTTTGTATTACACACACAGCTTCTCTTTAGGGGAATTTGGTAAAAGGACTCCCCCCAAGCAGCAGCTTAGAAGGTCTGTCAGGTGCTACAGGCTGTGCCCTGGGCTCCAAATCCTGGTACCTGGTGAGCATCATTGACCTGAATATGTGGACAATTTGTTTACACGTTTAGGAGAGTGGCAGTGATTCATTCAACCCATCCACCGTCTAACCCAGGAGCGTAATACCTCCTAGCAAAAATGGGGAAGCTACTGATTCCAGAGGTAACCAGACGTCTTAGCTCTTAAACAGATTTTCACAGATTATTCCTTAGAATCCATATCTGTCTCCTAAGCTTACTGTGACTTTACACCTGGACATGTCTTCTTTTTTAAAAATGGAGATATAATTCACACACCATGAAACTCACCCTTTCAAAAGGTGCGATTCAGTGTTTTGTTTTGTGTTTTTTTTGTATATACACAAAGTTGTGCAACCACCGCTGCTAACTCCAGAACACCTGCATCACTCCAAAACTGATATGTCTGTTTGACACAGCTCTAGGATTACAGATCTTTTAAGCTGCATGAGCAATTCTGCTACTGGGAGAATTGGCTATGGTGAGGCAGAAAATTATGGAATTAATCTAATTTAAGGTATAGCTTAAACTGATCCCTACTTTATTCTTGAGTTACATCAGATACTTTGCAGTACACCTTCAAACCTTCAAAATGGCAATAAATATACAACTCAAAAGGCAACATACATACATAGATATGGTTAAGGAAATGTGGTTTGTGGGTAAATAAAAAGAATCTGGAAAACTCTGTAGGAGGCCTACACCTTCAGAAGGCAAGATGTGCCTTTGCTGTTTTTTTTCCTTCTCTTGTTCTGCCTCCCTGCTTCTACGAAGCTCTCTGCTTCTTTTCCCCCGCTGGCAGAGCTGCAGCTCTAGGATGACCTTCTCATTAGAGGATCTGCAGCTCCCCGGACCTCACATAGCATGTAAAGCTTGCCCTGTGCTGGTCTCACCCTGATCCTAAGCTCCACGTCCAGGAACGCTGTGGTTTGCTCTCTGCACTGCAGTCCCCGCATTTGTAACTATTAGGAAGTCCAGATCTTGGACACCCTGGCCTGTCACCTTTTGCTGATCCCCTGAGGACTTGTCCCTCCATGCTACAGGCCAGAAGGGCTCTACCTGCCTGCCTCCTGGATCCCAAGTTCCCACATCCAACCTTCTTGGGCTCGGTTTCCAGTTAGCCTGAGCTGGATCTCCTTGACACCAGCCTCCCTCTGTCTGGATAGCCTGCCAAATACATCCCCAGACTGGCGTTTTCTTGATGTGAATGAACGAATGACCTTCAGCCCCTCCCAGTCTGACCCCTTCTTTTTCTTTTTTAACATGTTTATCGGAGTATAATTGCTTTACAATGGTGTGTTAGTTTCTGCTGTATAACAAAGTGAATCAGCTATACATATACACATATCCCCATATCCCCTCCCTCTTGCATCTCCCTCACACCCTCCCTATCCCACCCCTCTAGGTGGTCACAGAGCACCTAGCTGAGCTGATCTCCCTGTGCTATGCGGCTGCTTCCCACTAGCTATCTATTTTACATTTGGTAGTGTACATATGTCCATGCCACTCTCTCACTTCGTCCCAGCTTACCCTTCCCCCTCG